ACCCATAGTACAAGGCTGTCAAAGTCAACAGTACCCACCCTATTGGGGATGCACTATGTCGAACTCTTGCGCACAGTGGGGACAACCACCTTCAACTTTACAAAATGGGGTGCTAGAAAATCCACCCTAGTAAGTCGACCTTATCTCTCAGTGTAGACAAGGCCTTAGTGTCAGATCCCTGAGACCTCCAGCATATTAGTCAGCAGAACTCTCCTATGAACAATGCTAACCCTCACTGAGCCTTGCTGGTAAATAGTGCACCTCAGTCCCCAAACCCTCTGAAGTATTCCCTTGTGTTATCCAGCCCCCACCTTCTGAACACTGACAAAAATAGCAGCTTATTGCCAGTTACCAGGATCAGCTCCTAACATATATTTATTAAGGGATGTGATATTAAGGATGTTAAGTAACGGTCAGTTAGGCTGGGGCTCTTGTACATTTCAAAGGAGGAATGTGGAACTCTGCCTGCAGCCCAGGGCCAGCAGGAAGTCCCTCTGACTCCCGGCTGCACAGGGCATGCCAGCTTTGAAATGTACAAGAGTCCCCAGTGGGGCTCTTGTGCATTTCAAAGTGGACGCCCTCATGGAGCCTGGAGTCAGCAGGGGACTCAGAGTCCCCCACTGACCGTGGGCTCCATGTGGCACTACTGCTTTGAAATGCCACCTCAGCACTGCCGCTTTGAAACGCCTTGGCAGCATTTCAAAGCAGCAGCACTGCACAACTGATCCTGGGCTCATCTGTGCAGCGCTGCCGCTTTGAAGTACTCCCTCTTCTCCCCTTTTGCTGCCTCTGATAGAGGTAGCGGGGGGGGGGGGGGGGGGGGGGGGGAAGGGAAGAGGAAGAAGTGACTAGTCAACTGACTAGTCATCTAGCCCTTAATAACCTTAATATTTATATTGAAACCAAGGATAAGTTTATTACCAAAGATTCAAGGCTAACGGAAACAAAAGGTTGCATTTCTAGACACTAAAGTTAACTTTTATTTGGAGTTTCTTACTCAAAATGTCTTTTGCAGCCTTTCCATCAAGCCTGCTTATGATCCTGTTTTCACAGCTGTAAATCCACTGCCTAAATGTTAATTTTTCTTCTTTTCTCTTATATTTCCCCAAGTTCATGGTCTTTACCTCAGTCAGAATAACTACCTCTCTACTGTACTGCCTTCCTGTTGACTTCACATCTATTAGCTGAGTTTGTACGTATAGTGTTTCCACTGTCGGCTTTCACTGCTTAGTATGTGTCAACTGA